TTTTTTTTCTGTATGTAAAATCCAGGATAGGAAAATGCGTAGAGACAGTCACTGGATTAATGCTTCCGTGGCAGTGGGGGGTTGGGGGGAGTGGCAGAGGGGGTGGGGGTGATGGCAGGGGAGGCTAGGGGGAAGTGGGGAGCTAATAACATTGAGTATATGAATGAAGAAAATGTACTAAAACTGATTGCAGTGATGATTGTACCACTCTTCTTGATGTGACTGGACTATTGAATTGCATGATTGGTGAACTGTCTGCCAAAAAAGCTGTTGAGAAAAAAAATCAAAACAAAACAGAATATTAGCAGACAAGTAGCAAAAACAATTACAAATGTTGATAAGCGACTCAAAGGGAGAGAAGACTATGTGAACCAGTGGTACTTGAGAGACTGTGAGTGGCCATGGATGGTCTCTTTCTGAAGACCTGGCAGAGAAAGGTATTGTACACATGCAAAGTGTGGAGCCTGGGGAGAGAAACCCTGGAGTGCTTGAGAAACAGAAAGGGTGGTTGGTGAGGAGCAAGCCAGCCAAGTCCACAGAGCCAGGTGTACAGGAACAAGAGCCACAGGACGGGTGTGACTGTAGAGTGCATGCAAGTTGATCTCAACTCAAAGGAAACTCTTGGGACAAGAAGCACCGCACCCTGGGGTGGTCTTGTCTGTAATCTCTATGGAAGCAAACTACCAGGTATTTCTTTCTTGGACTCACTGGAGGGATAGGAACCGCCCATTTTTTGACTTAGCAGCTGAACACTTAGTCATCACCCCACCAGGACTTCCTGCAGGCTCTGATCCTAACCAAATCGAACCAAACCCACTGCCATCTAATTGATTCTGGCTATCATACAGATGGGACATCTCCTTGGAGTTTCTAAGGTGGTGAATCTCATGGAAGTGACAACCTCGTTTTTCTCCTGGGGGAGTGGCTAATGGATTTGGGCAGCCGACCTTGTGAATAGCAACCTCTGCCTAACCCACCTCGTCACCAGTATCCCTTAAGGGCAGTCAGTTTATTAAAATACCATGGGTCTTTTTCTAAGTCTCATGGGAAATGAGGTGAGTACCGTCATTTGTTTTGTATTCTTAAACATCTACGTTTCTCAGCAGAGAATGGATGTGGGGAGATCTAAAGTTGACTTTGAGTAAGCCCACCTTCCCTGTGGTTCTGTAAGATTATGCGTGCCCTGGACCCCGGCCAACCTTGGATGATAAATCAATCCTTATATGCTTACTATTCAATTACTATTTGGTTGTTGTTTTTCTTTTTATTTCAGGTCAGATGGCTAATGTGATATTACTAGTGGTTAATTCAAATGGAACCAAAAAATGCTTCATGTTTTCTTTCCTTTTTTAACCAGTGCTCTCATCATTAATATAAAGAAAAAATAATTTTTCAATTCCCAGAACTGTCATGTCTCTCAATCATTAATATAAAGAAAAAATAATTTTTCAATTCCCAGAACTGTCATGTCTCTCAAAGTTTTCTGGCATGAGTTATAAAAATGAAAAATGTTTAGTCTTCAGACTAGAAAATGGAATACCATCTACATTTCCACAAGCATCATAAGAATAGCATGCAAAGATGAAATGGTCTAATCAAGAAGCAGATAATGAGTAATAATAAGGAACATAATTAAACAGTATGCAAACTAGTAGACAGGATATATAATGATTAAGAGAGATCCTTACTCGTTGGGTGAAGAGGCTTGGTGTGTAACTAAGGAGAACCTGGATGGGTCTCCTCCCTATCGGTGGGCCTGTTTGATGCTGACATTGATCGGAGTGGTCCTGTACAAATGTGGTCTGGTGCTTTTCTTGTACAAAGTAATGTATTAAATTCCTGTGTGTTGAAAGAATATGACCAATTATTTGTTGATTTTTTTAAAAAGTAAATGCTACTGGGAGATACCCTAAGAAGCCCCAGTGGCATAGTGGTTAGGAGATGGACTGCTAACCTCAAGCTGAGTAGTTTGAAACCAGCAGCCACTCCACAGGAGAAAGATGAGGCTTTCTACTGCTACGAGGACTTACAGTCTCAGAGGCGCAAAGATACCATGTCCGATAGGTTCACTATGAATCAGAGTCAACTGGATGACATTGACTTTGAGGAAGGAGCCTGGTCAAAATTAAGTATGGATATTCTAATTTCTGTATTTTTTCCTGTGAATTTCATAGGTATTTTTCCGTTTTCTTTTTTTCCCCCAAACGAAAGAAAACTCTTTTCAAAAACAGTAGTGTCAGAGAGTTCACACTTGATTTGTATATACCACATTCTAGTGACATCTTGATTGTCATGTTCCACTCAAGTATGCAGTGGGTCAATATGAGCAATAGGGTTTTTTTAATTTTTATTTTGCTTTAAAATGTCTCGAAATGGGTTTTGATACCTGATGAAAGAATCCCTGGTGACTCAGTGGATTAAGTATTGGGTTATTAACCAAAAGGCCAGCTCTTCCAACCCCCATCCCTGAACTAGAAGAGAAAGATGTGATTTTCTGCTTCTCTGAATCTTTGGGCCCTTGTACACAATAGGGAGCAGTTTCGTTTTGTACTGCTGGATCTCTGTGGGTTTGAATCCACTGAATGGCCATCGGTATCACTATCTTGTCACATGGCTGATCTAGGTCTTGTGAGGTTCAACAGATCTACAGATCCATTATTCCACAACCGCAACAGAAGTAAATCTGTGATGAAGGCAACTCGGCTCCCGTGGCCCTCTTGCAGTTCCTGTATTTGGGCATACAGACCTTCAAAGGGACACCCCGAGGTACACACACGCACGCACGCGCGCGCACGCAGTGAGCCCACTACTCAAAATAAGCCCAGTGCCGTTCCCTTCAGAAAGAGCGCTGCTCTTTCCCGTTCCATCTTTGAACTGTTGCCTCAGAAAATATGTCCAGCTTGTTGAGATTTTAAATTTATTGTGAACACCATAGTCGTGGGGCCAAATTAGATTTCCCAGTCACCTTTAAAATTGGATATCACGTGTCTCCCATATAAAATCACAACTGCTGATGTCTTTACCCAAAAGCAAAAGAAAATCCAATTCAAAGCAGCTAGTGCTACAATGATGTGAGTTTTTTCAAAAAGAAAAGGCCCCCAAGATACGTGCATGCAGAATGTGGTTTTACATCCTCCAGGACTCCGGGCTCTCCATGTTCCCATTCTTCACAGCTAAGCATTTTCTTCCACCAGCACCTCTCAGCATCAAAGATGACAACCGCTGTGAGTGCAAAGGGTCCACGATGGACACGTGCAAGAGCTGGTCACCCTCCGGATGCTTTGTTTCTCTATAAGTGAAGAAAATGCTCCCAGAAGTCTTCTACAGGACTTACCTTTCAACATCAGTGGGTGCATACCTATGTAGCAATCCATTCCAGAAAATGGGAATGAGGCTGCTGAGGTTGACTTACAAAAATTGTGTACTGTTGTGGCTCCTCATAGAGTAAGCCTCTGGGAGCACGTGACTGAACCCAGAAAGATACTTGAACCTGGAGTTGCACCAGAGGAAGACTGAGGGTGCCTGGAGGCTGGGTAGAGAGAGTAGTTTGCTGAGAAACATCCTAGGAGGAGGGCTAGGGCGCACCACAGAAGAGGGCCCGATGAAAACAGGATGGTGCAATGTCCATTGAAATTTGTGTTTCCGTGGTGTATTGAATCTTTTAAATCGTATGAAACAATCCTATTTAGAGAAGAGGAATGTTCATCCAAGTGCTAGCTAAATGATAGATGTGTGTTTTTTTTTTTAATCTGGTATCCTATTAGGGAGTTATAGATAATATGGATGTCTTTTCTTTCATGAAGGATTCATTTTGGGTGATTTTTTTAAAGGCATCTGTATTCAGGGGGAAAAAAACCCTTGTAGTAATCACATGTCCTGCCAGTTCACATTTTTCAGGCACGGCATTCTCGTGCACTTTTTACTTACCCATTTCACTTTTCTTACTATGCATGTGGGGGCAGCTTGCTGAATCCTGTAATGGGGTGCTGTGCAATGTGATTTTAAGTAGCAACTGCAGAATGGGATTAATTTTGTGTTTTTCTCAATTTTTAAGATCCTGACTTTAAGGACCTGGGCATTCTGAAGCCCTTACCAGGTTGGTAAACGAAATACTCAGTCGTGCTCAGAGACCATTGATTTCTGCTCTGCAACGCACTGTCGGTGGATTGTTCAAGCTCCATTTGTGTGTGTGTGTTTGCCATCCTGTTATTCAGCTTGTGAGTTTGAGACGGGCGGCCCGGAAGGAATCGTGGAGTCTGTGCAGATCATGAAGGAGGGAAAAGCATCCGCCAGCGAGGCCGTCGATTGCAAATGGTACATCCGAGCCCCACCACGGTCCAAGGTTAGTCCCAAGGGCGTCGTCACATGCAACTTGAAATGTGCCTGGAGCGTGCGTTTTTCTGAGCCACCTGGAGATGCTTCCAGCATTTCAGGGTGCCATCTTACATGCTTCTTTTATTTTAGTTCTAAAATGCAACTTGCCTTTTCCTGTTCCATGTTTCGTTCTGTGTGATTTTCATTAGATTGGGTTGTGAAGATGGCCTTAGACTCGAAAATAAGTCTACCTTTCTGAAAAATGGACGGAACTGTTATACTTAGCTGTGGTGACCTTCATGCCTTTATTATCAGTATCTGCAGGTGGTTATTTCTTCTCTTAGCCCAAAATTGTACCTGTGGAGAAAATTTCTCAGTCTCGAAAACTTGTATAACTGCCATATCTAGTAGCTGTATGGTAAGGTTTGGTGACCATAGCAAACAGGACCTCAAAGAGCCTGTACCCCTCCGAAGGAGATAGCAAAGCATAGTGACCCCACAGAAGAGAAGAGCGTTGAACTACTCCTTCAGGTCCCTGAGACTAAATCTTGACAGGATCAGGCCGCTTCGTATTTCTCCCTCCCTGCAATAGATGGGTTTGAACCACCCACCTTGTCGTTGGCGGTCCAGCATTTAACCCACTGTCCCTCCAGGGCTCCTTTCCCAAAGGAGACCTCCAAATTCTGAAGCAACTCTCTGGTCCCTTTTGAATGTTCCTATGAAAGAACATAGGCCCTGGCATTAACAAGTCCCGTCCCTCCCTGCCCCCACCCCCGACTCCTAAGAGGCCAGGAATTAGAAAACTAACTTCTATTGGGATTGGAGTGATTATTGTTAAGCGACTCTGTACATGGCAAGCACCAGAGGCAGAGGCAGCACTGCTCTTCATGTGTGTATAGCTCCGTGCTGAGACAAATGTGCAAGGAAAACCATCCAATCAATGAGAGAGATTGTGGTGCTTGGGGGACCATGGAATTAGAGTGAGGGAGAAGATGATTTAGGCCTGACCCAGGTATCAGTCAGGCCCACAGCTTAAGCTGAATGAAAACTACAAGCCAGGGCTCTTAAAAACAAACTTGGAAAAGTTCCATTAAAATTTCATTCCATTATTTTCCACCCAGTATTTGGAGCCCGCTCATACTGTTGTGACAGGTAGGGAAGGAAGCCGGTGGTAGGGAGGGTGGTCCCAGCTGGAGGTCATTGCATCTGTGACGTCATGGAATCAGAGTAGCCCCCGCTGACTTTTGAATGGATTGAAGGTGTTGCTTGTGACCCAATAAAACCATGAGAGTTGAAGGAAGGAGTAAGTGGTGATGCCCAAAGGTTCTGCAGACCTTCTACAGGGCGAAGACGGTCCTGCGTTAGAAGCAGGAGAGTGATGCGATCAGATTTGTGTTTTAGGAAAGGACTCTTCTGTGTAGAAAGGCAGAGCAGAACTGCTCATACTACAAGGAGAAAGCACAGCAGGAAGTGAGGGCAGGAACCCCAGTGTCTTGGACCAGGTTAGCTGGCAGACACATGGTGGTTGTGAGTAGTTACTGAACCGGCTACGACTCAATGAGACCTTAGCAAAGCATAAGGAAATGTCGCCTGGCTGGGCCCCATCTTCAAGACCATTGGTATGGCCGAGTTCATCATGGCAGCTAGGGTATTCATCCATCCCCTTGAGGGTTTCTCTGTTACCCTTGACTTCCTGCTCGTCCAAAGACGAGTTCTCCTGCACGTCTTTCCCGATGATTTGTTCAAAGTCAGCAACTGGAAGTCTCACAGTCTACTGCATTTTTGTTTTTGTTTTTCTTGGACTGATCATTCTCTTGGGAGTACACAGATTAGGAAACATAGAAAACACAAGGGAATTGGGTGACTGGATGTTCAGAGTGAGGGACAAAGATGAGTCACGTTTAGGGAACTGTATTCCAGGAAATGTTCTGATTTTCTTTCTTTGACTATCTTTTCTCGGAGATTGGCCAATGAGATGGGGCGGGAGGGGTTTCCTCGCCACACCCCCAGTTATCATCATTCAGAGATCAGGGTGCAGATTCAAACACTGTCGTCTGTAGGCAACCCCCCCACCAAAAGTTAAGTTCATTATGACATCCATCACAGGATGCAGATGACATAGTACAGAGTACATGGTGCAGAGGGTTAAGCCCCCCTCTATTAGCTGAAAGGTGGGTGTTTTGAACTCACCCACTGTCAGCTTGGGAGACAAGCCTGGTGGTGTACTTCTGAGTTCATCCCTTCCTTGGAGACCCTGTGGAGGAGTTCTGCTCTGACCACAGAGGGTCACCATGACTCTGAATCACGTCAGTGATAGGAAGTGACTCCTCCCTCCATCCGCCCTACATAGACTATCAGGGAGCTGACTCACCGTTTACTAGGTTCCATGATCACATGGGCCCGGTGTGTATGTTTCTGAAATGCTGAATGGAGGAAGTGTTGGAGGTTCTTCTCAAGCCAGGAGCAGCTGAGCCCCACCTTGCTCTTAGAAACCAGTGTCTCCATCAGCGCAGGGCTCAAAGAGAGGCTTTCATGAGGGCGAGCACACACACACTTCTCTCCCAGCTGGTAAATAGCCTGTCTTTTGTACAATCCTGGACAAAAATACCAAGCGTACCTGTCTGTCACAGATCCTGGCATTCTGTGACCCCAAAGGGGAAGTCACCCACAGAGCTGGACAAAGCTGGCTCTATTGTGACAGGCTCTCTCTATGTTGCTAAAGGTTAGAGCTTTGAATAAGCATGGAGAAAAAGCAAGAATGGGATATCACCGCCTCTGTGGACTTTCTGTCTCACGGAATTTGGAGCTGCTCCTGAGAAGAGAGGATCACAGCACCAGTTGAACTTGCTCCTGGTGAATGTCTGTCATGGTAACTGGTGGCTTGAACCCTAATCCACACTGACCATACTAAATCACTCACTTGAGTGCTATTGGAATTCCTATAAATTGTGTATTACTTCTCAACCTTTGGTCAAATAGAAAATAAAATATCGTATTTACCTGTTTAGTGTGAGAATAGGAATATAGGTTGTGCATCTTTAGATAGGAGCCCCGGTGGCGTAACGTGCATTGGACTGCTACTGCGAGGGCGGCAGTTTGAAACCATCAGCCTCTCCACTGGCAGGAAGTTGAGCTCTTCTGCTCCGGCACAGAGCTACGGTCTCAGAAACCTACGAGGACAATTCTTCCTTGTCCTATTCAGTGGCGCCGCGAGTCGGGATTGATTCAATGGCAGTGAGTTTGTGTTTTTCATCTCTAACTAGGATGTGACTAATCCAAAAAAAATTTTTAAAGAGTTTGGAATGCCAGTGGCAGAAAATATGGTAGAGGGCTTTAAGAGAGTTATGCTACTGGTTATCTCACTGAAGAGATGGATAGAGAGAGTCAGAAGAAGGCAGTTCCAGATGAGTTAACGATGGGAAGTGGAACATGCTTCCGTAATCAGCTGGTTAGGTATGTATGCAGATTCTAGAACAAGGGTAGTGGAAGGGAACGTGTCTAGATCAGAATCTGCTCAGGAGGAGTTGCAAGAAGAGCGTGATGGGGAAGCAAGCAGTGGGAACTATGTCAGTGGGAACTCCATGAAGAAAGGCCTCATTTTCCTTCCCATACCTCCTGCTAAGGGGAACATCTGCCGCGAACTTGGAGCTCCCGCCCTGGTTTACAGCTGGGAGAAAGGACATACTAGCCTTGTTCAACGATGAGAGGAAGTGCCCTTTGGGAGGAGAATAAGACTTCTGATTTCTTCAGAAAGAAGACTTAACCTAGATAATTGGGTGTGCCACCATCCTCCTGGCCTTGCCAGCTAGAGAAAGATAGCTTCGGATACAACTCGGGGGAGGCCGTTTGTTTGTTTCTTCATTTTGTTTTGTTTATATAATGGAGCTGTCCAAAGAGCAAATAAGTTTCCCCAGACAGAGGCCAAGCTGAGTTTGGCAGTGATTTTGTGTAGTTCATTAAAAAGGCAAGTGCTTTTGTTGGCATGGCTGATCTGCATGTCCTCTCAGAACCAGAGTCCGAGCATCTGGTAAATGACTTGCCTAGGTGTTCGGCTAGTTAGTACCCGAGCGAGCTGGAGCTAGAGTCATCTGATTCTCCTTCCAGTGTGATGTCTCAAGGCCACACATGCAAGGGAAATTGTCCATTTCCTTACAACAGGGCCAGAGAGTCAATAGATTTATAAAGACATATACGGAAGGCATACTTTAATGATGAAAGCCTCAAAAGAATAAAACTCTCAATACTTACAGATTATTCATGACTCCTGATTAACTTAATTTTTATTAATTAAAGAACACAGAATCAAATTGGAATAAATGGGGCAATTAAAAAACAAAACCCACCACCCAACACCAGTAAATTCTTACCTGCATGTTTATGTATTGCCCCACTATAAATGGCAAGCAGTGAGACATCCTGAGCCACACACTTGTTAGAATGTGGTTTTAATTATAAAATTGTCTAGTAGCTATTTAGGAGCCCAGATGTTGTGGTTAAGCGTGGGGCTGAGAACCACAAGGTCAGCAGTTCAAAACCACCAGCCTCTCCTCAGAAGAAAGACAGAACTTTCTAAGGCCATAAAGAGTGACATCTCAGAAATCCCCAGGGGTAGTTCTACCCTGTCCTGCAGGGTTGCTGGGAGTTGAGATCAACCTGATGGGAGTGAGTTCAGAGTGGCTGTTTAAACCAACCACAGCGCTTTCTCTTAAACTGCACTCTATCCTATTGGCTTCATCTTGGAGGACGTTCTGCTGGCAAGTCTAGAATAATTGCTCTCAGTGAGAGGAGGGTGCAGGTGGAAAAGGTGATATGAAATGTTTATTGGTAAATATATTTCTTATTAAATTGATAGCTCGACTCACTTGCTCGAGTGTACCAAGGAATCCTGTTTTCCGTATTAGTGTGATTTGGAAGACAGACATCCATAGGAATGGCTTATGTTTTCTGAAGCTTCCCATGTCCTGCTTAATAAATCATCCTGTCAGTTCAGGCCATTTGTGATTGATTAAAAAGACGAATGTGTCCCAATGATTCAGAGCAGAGATTATAATCGGACCATTTTACTGGGGTTATATATTATTCGGTTTCTCATTTTCTCTTTTCTTCAGCACACAGACCAGACCAGAGGGCTTTCTGCAGTTTTCTCATTTAAATAAAAATATTGTCACAGGCAGTTGTTTCTCTCTGAATTATTAAGACACAAGCTTTGTGATGACAAGATTGTCGTGTGAATCATCATGCAGGAAGGGTGTTCCTCTCTCCTGTGCGCTGAGCTGTGTGTCTGAGGAGGGCTCAGGGAGCTTAAGCAATTATTCTGCCTGATGACATTTGGCCTTTGCTTGGACAGACCTGGACCCAGTTAAAGCTTTACTCCACTGGCTTATTGTGTTTCTTTCCCGAGGTTTTAAAAAAAGAAAAAATGGCGTCAAGAAAATTACAGAAAGCTTCTAAGAGAGTATATAACATCCCAAGGCCGGCCTGGTCCCTGTCTTCTCCAGTATTTGATGATGACCTTTAAGTATAGGTGTTCAGACAACCTTTCAAGTCACCTTGTGTAAGAGTGCATGTGAATGTCCTGATGTGGGACGTCCCCTGCGACCCCTTGCACTCTTCAAGGGAAAATAAGGGAGGGCCCGGAACATGCAAATAGCCTTTTCTGATTACGCACCCTTCTTCTATACGATCACCTGATTTCCCAAGGATTTTAAGGTGCACATGCTTTCTGAGGATTACATTTTTAGGATTTGCATTCAGATCTCAATAGTCAGCTCTTGAGAAGGACGGTGTTTTGTTTGGTTTTGTCTATTGATGGACTTGGTTCCTGGCAGTGTGTTTGCTAAGAGCAGGGCCTGCATTCTGGCATCTCTGGCCTGGAGCCTCTAATACACTTGCCTTTTCATTGGCACAGTACTAGGGAGCAAAGGAGATCTGAGCCTGCACCCTGGCATGACCGTTAAGCCATGTCACCTGCAGAAATGAGCAGCACCTATCGAGACCCCAGTTTCCTTATCTCACAATGGTCTCTCATGAGTGCCGACAGTTTTGGAGAGATTGGACTGTATCGTGCAAGAGCACAATGCCTCCTGCTCTTGCCATCGCTTGGATGGACTCCCTTTGCTCCAGTGGATGCTGCCTCAGAGTCACCCCAGAGGGCAGGGTAAAACTGCCCGTGGGTTTCCAAGATAACTCTTTACGGGAATAGAAAGGCCCGTCATTCCTTCAGTTGTCTCTATTACACCCTGGACATGCTTCCCGGACTAATAATAAACCATGCAGCTCACTATCATGTAATTAGCCTCCTGGCTAGTTCCCCCAAAAAACATCAGGTGATGTGACAAATACCGTCCTCCCCTGAATCAGGGAAATCAATCATTCATTGATTTTCCTTCCCTGGGGTTAAGAGTTTGATTGTTAAAACTAGGGGTGGGGACACATCAGCCCTTTCAAGGTCCAGTCATCTTGAAATTGTCCAGCCGTCCCTCGGCACTCTCGCTACAACCCTGGAAGTGCCTGGGAAGGTGAAACACAAATCACTTGAAGGATAACAATGAATACCCAATTCTACAAATACAGGACAGTTGCTTCTCCTTTTCCCCAGGCCCCTCCGGGCATGAGCTCAGTGTGTGTAGTAAATGAGGACATTGGGTCTAGAGTGATGCAAAGGTAACTGTAGACATCATTGGCTGTCTATAGTTTGGTCCCCAAGCTTTGTCAACAAGAAGCCAGCTGAAGAGCAAATAGCGTGTAGACACTTAGGGTTGGTATGTAGATATCTATATATGTGTATGTATACATGTGTGTGTATATGTATGTGTAAAGAAAGCATGCCATGCCTGATATCCTCTTTATTTCCGAATCTCTCTATCTTCTCATAGTAGATGTCATTTTTTCCTCTTTCTTCAAATCACTTCTTGGCATTACATGTTTGTGTCATGATCTGTTTGACACTTATTTTCAACACTGGCCATTGTGCCTGCCATCACCGGTGCCCAGACCAGCGTGAGAAGCCTCACGTGTTTCTGAACGGATGTGCAAAGGAACACGCAGTGTTGACAGACTCACCCTTTGTTTGGGACTCGGGTGAAAGCAGAGTGGTGAGAAGTCAAACGGAGCCTGTTGATCCAGAAACACACTATCTGAATCAGTGGTGAGGATCTCTGCAGGATGAGGGCTCAGGAAGTTAAGAGTATCTTTATGCCTAACTTCCTGTCTTGCCATTTCCCCAAGTCGGGGTTTCTTCTTCCGAACAGGACAAGAAAAACTTCCCCATGATGGTGAGATTAGTGGTAGTAAAACCGAACACAGAGTAAGTTTCACTGCCCCTTACCATCTTTGAAATTTAATTTTCTTTTTTGTGGGACTTACCTAAAAAACTGAGTCTGCTATGGTGAAAATGGTCTTTGGCCATGGCCCACATTTGGGTGTCTTTATACCCTGCTGTCTACGGAAGGGTGAAAACACGGCAGGGAGTCTGACGACACTCAAGGTGGCCTGGTGGGTCCCAGAGGAGCAAGGCCAGGCTGTGCCTGGCTTGTGTTTGGCTGGGGGGTCCTCTGACCTTTGCCGTTGCCTTGCAGATCTACCTGCGGTTCTTGGACTACGAGATGCAGAACTCCAACGAGTGCAAAAGGAACTTTGTGGCTGTGTATGATGGCAGCAGCTCTGTGGAGGACTTGAAAGCCAAGTTCTGCAGCACAGTGGCCAACGACGTGATGCTTCGCACCGGTCTGGGGGTGATCCGCATGTGGGCGGATGAAGGCAGTCGCAACAGCCGCTTCCAGATGCTCTTCACGTCCTTTCAAGAACGTAAGGCTCGTCGCCCTGTCTGTCCTCTTGTCCCTTGAGTGTGGCCTAGCCTGCCACCCCAGGAGCTGGAGACCATGTGTTTTCATGAGCTCACGGGGTTGGGGGGGGTCTTTCTTCAGAAGGTGTTTGCATGCCATTTCCCTTCCTCCTCTTTGAATGCAAGGATAGCAGAGGGTTCCAGCTGCATTTTGATTGCTTATTTCAGACTAGAGGATACAGCCACTGTCCTGCTAGCACAGCCCACACTGTGCCACCTGGGAAATCAGGCTTTCATATGGGCACTTGGAATGGATGCAGCAGCTTTTGATGAAGCTGGCGTTTAAATCTTAAAAGCCTGAATCAACATATTTGCTAGGTGCAAGCATCTCTTTCAGGTCCCTCTACATCAGATGGGGCTCCAGCTACAGTGACCGTGAAAATAGGAAGAAGGTGAGAATTGTTGGGGACAGCAGTCAGCACAAGCATTTTCAGAAATATCTGAAATGGCATAATGGGTGATTCCCAGACTTCCGTTCACAGCCCAGTGAGTTCTTACAGGTAATGAGTCCTGTGAGTCGATGGCATTTGGAACAATCTTCTGAAAACACATTTCCTCTTTCCCAGTTTCTGTCACTGGGGCAGAGTCCTGAGATACTCAGCTTTCAGGATCAACACCTCCTGTTTTGAAGCTATGTTTTCTTACTCTTTTTTAAATGAAAACATCACAATAAAATACGCCCACAGTTTAAACATCGCAAAATCTTATTGAAAGTAACAAAGCAGGTGACTTTTTAAAAATTAGTAAATGACAATTGGGTTGTATCCATTCTTTTATAAAATGACCAAGTATTCCAGGGCTGTAAACGCCTCTTTCAGTCCCTAAATGGAGCATTCTCAGGCTGAGTACCACTCAGGACCACTGAGTACCACTCAGAAGGACACAGCATCCTCCAGCGTCCTTCGTGTCAGACATGAATGGCATGCTGCTATCTCTGTCTTCACTTCAGTATATATATAGCTATATATATATATGTTAGAGGCAATGCATCTTCATTTCAGTCAGGTATTTTTTAAAAAGAAAGAGGATGATGTCATTTTCTTAAGTAATAGATGAAAACATTCTCACTTCAGGATAGTTTTTAAGTTGGGTGCTACTATTATCTTCAGTGGCTTGCATCTTTGGTCAAGGCGTGCAGGTCGTAGAACTTGATTTTGTATTGCTAGCAGGGTTAGATAATAATGGATTGACAAGTCCAATGTGGTATGAAGAGCACAAATATGTTAGATGATTTGATAGCTATTCTCAAATATCACACAAATCTGCATTTTTTGACCAGATGATACCATCAAATAGAATGAAAAAGTTATGAACTCCTGCATCTAAGAAATTAACTAGTAAATGATAATGTTGAAGAACCCGAAATCTTAGGATTACATGAAGTTTTGTGTCAAAAAGACACAATAAGAGCCACTAATTTTCTTATATTGTCAACTCTATCATAAAAAGTCTAATGGGAAGCCACACAGGGCAAAATGCAAATGACATAATTTCTTCATCTCTCGGTATTATTAATAAGGAGCTGGCACTCACTCATTAAGTGGGAGAGGTTTACTAGGATACAGAAGCCCCTGTAATCATGAGAAAGGGCAAAAGAAGAGATGTTGATCTGGGAGAAAATTGTCTCTGTTCACAATGTGATAACTACCTTAGGCTGATGCTGGGTGAGAAAGGATTCGTGTTCAAGAGAGAAGATAAATGCTTGAAAATTATAGGGAAACAGCTGAGTGCAATTTAAGGGAAAATGTCAAACTCATGGGAGCTGAGATTTAAAAAAATAGAATGGATGATCACAGAGGATAGAGACTCTGGTAGGGAGTTGATTCCTTTGGAAATGGGTCACCCTCCACCGTGAATGGTGCCGAGGAAATGTCCATTAGGGAGAAGGCATAGAATGAGCAGCTCCTGCGGTCCTTCTCAGCTCTAAAATGTTTTGAATTCTAGGAGTTTTTATAAATCTGCATATCCCAAGAAATGGTGATTTCATATTTTGAATGTGTTGTTATATGTCGAGTAGGTTTATTTGAGCTCAAGGCATGATGTTGATGCATGTGATTATGTGATCTCCGAAAGTCATTCATTTGTATGTGTAGGTTGGGGGTACCTAGATTGAGTAATCCAGAACAAACAGGCCATTCTTCCTCTTTATGATAGAAACAGCATCTCACCTTCATGTTCCCGCACAGTGGATGAGCTATCGCTGGCGTCTGAGTGGTGTGGGCTGTAGCAGTATTCCCAGTGGTAGCCTAAACCTGAAAATAGACAGTCAGTTTCAACTGGAACCTGCTTCATCCATCCACTGGGACATGTTGCCGCTGTAGTTTTGACTTGGAGTTGTTGACATTGGCTGAGAAATAGGCAGCATTCCACTACTATAAACCTGAGATCTAAAGACATTCTCTGATAAAAGATGTGGCTGTCATATGAAACATCATACGTTGAAACCCAGGCATTCCAGACCAGAGGGGGGATTTTTTTTTTCTTTTAAAAATCATTTTATTGGGGGTTCATACAACTTTTTTTAAAAAATATATTTACAAATGTACATGCCTTTATTTAGACTTCTATATACGTCCTTTGCCTCCTACCTCTTTTTTTTTTAACCATTTCTCAAATTTTACCTGCATAAGTATTTTTTTTTCTTTTTTAACATTATATTAGGGGCTCATACAACTGTTATCCCAATCCATACACACATCAATTGTGTAAA